AACGTAGTCTCTGCCTCAGACGGAAGAATGGAAAACACTGACTCAGTTTGCCGATTTCAATCTGTCGCACATTTGTGCAATGGGACCACGAGCTTACAATGCATTTTTCCAGGCATCTGTGTTTTGTATGTTTGTGTAGAGTATGTTTCTGACATAAAATAATATCAGTTCAGACTTAAAGGGTTTGAATACACACAGTCAGTACATACAATTACACAGCCCTGCATCTTGATTTGCAAAAAAAGGAATATTATTATGTGACTGGATTATGCTGAGTTCAAAAATATCAATAACAACTTTCCATCATGTACAGTTCTTCCACAAAATAAGAATGCATTACCAAAAATAGCGCTCAGTCAAGTGTCAAAAGTTTTCGGATTTAATGACAAAACATGTATTCAAAATGTTTCATTTAACATAATACTCCATTTAATGTCAAAGAACTTTACAAAATAAGCTTTTTTCACAAAATGTGTACTTTTCTTTTGCGCTTTGGATGTAGTATAACACCCACAGATGTAGCAGAAAACATCTGGCTCACGTTTGCATTTACCTTGAAATCAGGATTAGGCATAAATGTCTAATCCTAATGTCTTCAGAATCATTCATACATGTAAAAATTGGCTGGGAATTGAACAGATAGTCATAACCTGGCTCACAGGAAGATATTATTATGTCTTTGTGGCATTTTTAAGGGATAATACAAGACCTCTTCACCTTACAAATGGTTGTCAAAATGCACATCATATTTTTTGAGAAAAGTGACGTGCTTAAAGGCGGGGTAAGCGAATTCTGGTAGCCAGTGTTGACATTTGAAATCACCAAAACAAACATGCCCCTACCCCAAAAGGGTCTCGCCCCTATTTTGATAGCTCCGCCCCACACATACGTACGCAACCCAGGCAACGATTAGTTCTGTGAAACAAAGCAAAACCAATGTTACACCGTGTCTACACCAGACGCGAGTGGCGCGGCGCGACAAAATGCTATGGAACTCATTATAATCAGTGATACTGTCTACACTGAATGCGGCACGATACGACAAGTCCCCATCAGAAAACTGCTGCTACGTTCTATTCATGACGTATTGACACAAATTTCAAATGATTTTCAACAGTCGCTTTGTCACGTCCAGTAAACGGGCACTATTTTTGGAATCAGCAGCCCAATTAGTGAGAAGCACGTCTTTCATTCAGCAAATATAATGCAGGGCGGTGTTATCATTTTCTTATCTCATCTTCTTTTTTGAGTTACTTCACTTGAAATGCACATTTTGATTTTGCACTAACCTCAAAATGAATCCAATACAGATGATCTCACATGCACTCATCAATCATCTTTTTTCCCCCTCTGTTCACCTCTTTACTTTTATCCTTCACTTCCCTCTCCTCTCTGTTCCTCAGATGCGTTCTGGCCAGATTACGAGGAAACTCTGGGGCTCCAGTAAGCGCCTCACTCAGATCTCGTCTGGGGAAACCGAGTATCACACCCAAGAGCAACCCTGACCCCGCCCCTAAATCACAGCCCTCCTGCCTGATTGGCCCACTGCCCTGTCAATCGCCCAAATCCATCGTTTCAGATGGGAGGATGGCTCTCTCCTCTTGCTGAAACAATATGAAGGACTTTTTAGCACCTGTATGCAAATCTGTGTGTGTGTTGAACCAAATGGATGCATGTTCCCTCGTGTAGTTGGACTGGTGCAGGCACCATCTAACTACATGTGTCTGAATTCTGTGAAAACCCAAATGTTGACCCTCCTGACTCCGCCCTCTCTGTCGTTTTCCACCACATGTGCCACGTCCATTTAGTTAATCATCATTAACACACTGTTATCACCATCAGCATCAGCATCATTACAACATGTTTTTGTCATGTCTACGTTCACATATGTGTTGAGTACGTGTCCAGTTATTTGTTTCTTTAGTGGCCTTGTCATATTTCATAGGTTGTTTTATTAGTGGACACAGGCATTATTTATTTGCACAGTCTTGCTCTTGCACAGACCTCGAAAAGTGGATGATATTGTACACCAGTATAATACGCATGGCATATTCTGTTCCAACAGACCAACACATTTTATAGCAAAACTGACATCTGTAGGGTGCGAACGCTGATTTTTATTGTGCGTAACTGTTGAATGTTGTCATTCATTACTTGAATTGTGATGCAGTTATTTCATTTTGTCGTGGATGTACATGCAAATAGTTTTATAACCATTCTACCATTCTAGTTTGGTTTATAGATTTGTTGCATCTGAAACACTACAAATACAAAGGGGGAGAAGTTTCGAAGGGCTTTGTGAGACACGACAGTAAGCAATACAGTTCGTCCCTCTGAAGCATTCCACTGGCTAATCGCTGCTCCGCAGTCTTCCTAGTATCCAAACCGAGCACTACATAGAGAGGAGGTACTTGTGTACCACGGGACAGCTAGAACCAATGCAGCATAAGTCAGGTGAGACGCTGTTTCCCCTCCTCTTTTATATTTCTAAGCCATGCAGTCTTCGTTTACTATGCAGGTAAACATCCAGGCCTTCTAGAGAATTCAGTTACCGATTGACATCTGAATTCTGCTTATGCAGTTTTTATTTCTTCACCGTAGGCTGGAGATGTATGCGTTTCCTTTACAAGAATGTACCATAGTGATCATAGTTTCCAGCAAAATTCCTTTATTATAGTCACAAGTGTGTGTAAAGTACTAAATCACTAGACTTGGTATAGTGATAATAACTGGTATTGTGGTGGAAACTATAATTACCATTGTATTTTTGTAAGGGTTTAGTTTGTGTCTCATTTTCTTACACTAATGTCTTTGAGTGACAACATTCATTCCTTTACTAAAGGTTGGTTGTTTGGAAACTTATAAGCGACGTTAATGAAGATACTAATACCAAAATGCAGATGTCTTTATCAGGATGTTCATATAGTTGTGTGTGTTGTATGTTCTTCCATATATGTGCTTTAGTTTGCTATGGTGCTGAAGTTTAGATTCGAAGTCTGAATCTAAGGGGATGAGTTATGTTCATTTCTTATCGCAAAGTGCTCCCTGCATCTGCTGGTTGCTTTGGAAATAAGTTATACCAAGAGATCTAAATTAATGCTTTGATTTCTTTGCATTTATTCTATTTTTTTAAACTGTCAATGTAATGTAAATCCCAGAGGTGGCTGATTTTATTCACATGTCTGTTTGTATGTATATGTGTTTCTCTTCCTTTAATTAAATGAATGGAGTGCCTTTTTTATTCCGTCGTCATGCAAATTAGTCTCCATGATCTGAACTCTACAGCATGACCTTTCGTGTGACCCCTGTGGACAGCCACGGTTTCTGCGGGAAGTACCAGACAAACTTCAGCAGTCCTGAGATTTACTGAGCTGCTTTTGATTTAGTCGTCACTAATGGATGTGTGTGTATATCTGTGCTTATTTATGAATCCAGTATGAAATGTACAGCATGAATTTGATTTCTGTTTATGAATTGTGTTTTTTTTTGCACTTTCCAGGTACGACAAATTGTAAGAGATTGTTTTAAATGTCTCCTTGATCTGTACAGAGAAACTGCTTTGTTATACGTGAAAATTTATCATTAAAGCCCTGTTGAAAAGTCACAGTGACGTGTTTATTTTAAGTTGTGTGTCAATTAAATAATTCAATGAAAATATTGATTGTGTAATGTTATAACATTACAATTAATCATAGTGAATATTTACACTATCATGTATCATTTTATTTTATGCTTCTGTGTGCATCATTAGATTTATTTTAATAAAAAAATATGGCAAATATATTTTAGTGTGAAACGGAACCATGGCTGAAACAAATCCATGATATGAAGTATTTATTTGTATTTTGTACAGACAATAGTCAAATTAATAAAGAACATTAGAACACTACAAGGGTATATGTCATAAAAAATTAGACTAATTATATTATAAAAGAAACTAATAGGCAAATAGTGTGTTAGTATTGCTCAGTTTTGTTATTTGAGAATATATATTTCGAGCCAATGTAATAAATATATTCAAATAACTCAAAAGTTGAATTTTTTTTTTTAATAAAACATACTTTTTCATGTAGTATCTGTTTTGTAAAATGTGATGATGATGCTGCCTTCACACCGCAGCGGCCCCTTTAAAGGGGTCATATGACGTTGCTAAAAAATAACATTATTTTGTGTATTTGGTGTAATGAAATGTGTTTATGCGGTTTAAGGTTCAAAAAACACATTATTTTCCACATACTGTACATTATTGTTTCTCCCCTATGCCCCGCCTTTCTGAAACGCGTCGATTTTTACAAAGCTCATCGGTCTGAGGAAGCGAGGTGTGGTCTGATTGGCCAGCTATCCAATGCGTTGTGATTGGCTGAGTACCTCAAGCATGTGATGGAAATGTTACGCCCCTCACCATACTGTGATGCCCTGTCGGGCCGGAGCGATGATTCAAAAACATGAAAACCCATTATAAACGAGGCATTCGTTGCATCCAGTGGGGACATAATTACTGAATATAATGACTTATACTGTCTTTTTACACGTTGCATTGTATTTGGGTTGAACTGTTCTGGAACAGTGTTGTAAATACAACTTAACCACTGATTTCTAGTCGTGTCCTCTTTTGGAAGACCAAACAAAGTAGTTTCGCTTTCACAACGAAACACACAGCGCTTTCACGACATGGCGGCAGCAACAATACTACAGCGAGAATAAAAGTTACGCCTTCTTTCTTTGCGTGAACATTTAGGCGCCGTTATGCAAATCTTCCCACATAGTGACGTAGACATGTGGGGACGTGTTAGAACGAGCCGTTTTAGGTAGGTGTGGTTGACTCTTAACTTTTATTAAGAATATCTCTGGATTTGAGACTTTAGTCTTTGCAACTTTACAGATCTTCTTTATGCACCAAGAGCTTGTAACACTCCAAAAAGAAAAAAAAAATTGAAATCGCATCATATGACCCCTTTAAGAAACTCTGGAAGTGACTGTGTGCGGCGGCGGACTCTCGCGAGATTTGCCCGCGAGAGAAAACAGTCGCCATTTCTCGAAAAGTAAGAAAGAGCTGAAAGTGTGGCGGACAGTTCGTTCACATGCGCACAGAAACCATCCCCGATAACTCCTGAAGTAAAGACCGCATCTAAGCTTCCCGTTACCGGCTGTCTTCCCTGGCTGGTGTACAACTAGATGTGATATTCCAGTCGGAGTTTATGAGGGCGGCAAGTGAGTGAGTGAGGCCTGACAGTACAAACACACTACGTTACGTTGCAGCCTGTAAACTCACTGTTGTTGGTCACTCTCACAGGGGCATAACTGCAGAACAAACAGCCCTCCTCTGAAAAATGATCATTGAAAACCTCGATGCCTTGAAGACGTGGCTCTCGAAGACTCTTGAACCCATGTAAGTGATGCTGCTGCTGAAAATGATAACTAAATGATGCTAGCAAAATGATTCAAATCTCCCTGAATGTCAGTGACTTTAGTTTTATATGACTTTATTATTGACAAATGCTTTTGCTCTTTTTATATATTGGTTTTACATTCTATTGACTATAATGCTTGCACTTGGTTATCCTAGTAATCACGAGTTACCAGCAATAGTAAGTTGTATCTATTATACAGATGCTCTAAACTTGCTGTAAAGATGTTGTAGGTTGTCAAATAAGCGTCTTTATGTCATCATTGGGGTTTAATGTAACTGAAGTGTATCTGTCTGTCCTGCAGATGTGATGCTGACCCTTCTGCTCTTGCGAAATATGTGGTTGCCTTGGTGAAGAAAGATAAATCCGAGAAGGAGTTGAAAGCACTGTGCATTGACCAGTTGGATGTATTTCTTCAGAAAGGTATAATTCAACTCTATTAATGATCTGAATATATGCAGTTCTTTTGCTCAAACCAGATGAAGGTCACTAACTAGTAGGATCATATCAAGGTGGTTGTCATTCATTTTTAGACATGATTTGCATAACAGCCGCTTCAGTTCCATGTTGCTTCCAGAGTGACAGTACAAGCATATATGCACATGCATCTACATTCATTTGCTTTTGCTTGCAGAAACGCAGATATTTGTGGACAAACTTTTTGAAGCTGTGAACGCAAAGAGTTACCTACCTCAACCAGAGCAGCCGACTTCCGCAAGCAGAACTGAAACTCACCAGCGCACAGAGAAAAATGAAACCAAGAGAGAGGAGGTAGCACAAAACAATCACATAAGATCAACCTTTTGAATAATCCTACACTGCCGTTTAAAAATGTGGGGTCCGTATTAATAAAGAAATGAATACTCTTATTCAGCAAGTGCACTTTAAATTGATCAGAAGTGACACTAAAGACATTTATAATGCTAAAATAAGAAAGTTACTGTTCTTTTGAAATTTCTTTTCATCAAAGAAACACATTGTCAAGCAGCATAACTGTTTACAACATGATAAGACATGTTTCTTGAGCAGCAGATCAGCGTATTAGAATGATTTCTGGAGGATCGTGTGACACTGAAGACTGGAGAAATGATGCTGAAAATTCAGCTTTGATCACAGGAATTAATGCAAAACAATTATTTTTAATCTTAATACTTTACAATATTAATATTTTTACTGTTTTTGATCAAATAAATGCAGCCTTGCTGAACAGAAGATCATTATTACAGACCCCAAACTTTTAAGCGGTAGTGTACGTTGTGAAATTTCTTCTGCGCTTGATGGTATCGATTTCTGTGGTCGGTTTTGCATAAGCAGCCCAGCCGAGATGAGGATCGAGAAAAGAAATTCTCCAGGAGAATAAACCACAGTCCTCCGTCTAGCTCCAGATACAGCCGAGACAGCAGGTGAGAATAACATTAAATATTACATACGCTTTAACTTTCCCAAAATGCCACATACATGCATCTCTTAAGCCACCTTGTTAACCATCCTCATATTTTCTCTTCTATTCCAATTAAATTACAGGAGAGTAGACGACCACAAGAAAGATGACCGTTCCAGGAAGCGAGAGTATGACCGTAACCCTCCCAGAAGGGAATCGTACAGGGAACGTTATAACCGCAGGAGAGAACGCAGTCGTAGTCGCAGCTGGAGTAAGGACCGCACTCGTGACCGGGACAGAGAGCGGGACCGCAGCCGATCTCGCACACGCAGTCGCTCTAGAAGCAGAGGTGAGGCGTCACTTTACTTTAGTGATTAGGTTTATTCTCATATTTGAATTTTTCTGCGTGTAGTTGACATGAAATACTTTTTGCTATGCTTTGTCTAAAACAGATTTATGTAAGTGCTTATATTTTGTAACTCATATTAATAGAGACCGCATGGAATATTTCTACTTAAAATACTTGAGCCAAAACCAGTAGTTTTAGTTCTTACACATATAGGTAAAAAAAAAAAAAAAGTTTGAAGAATGTAAGATTTTTAAAAAGTTTTTTGAAAGAAGTCTCTCATATTCAACAAGGCTGCCAATCCTCTACATTGCGAGTAAATCACTCACATATGCGACTAAATCTTCACTTTTTGAAGTTTTTAAATTCTCAGATTTTACTCGCCAGTGTGTGAGTTGGATGCTGAGTATATGATCAGCGCAGATATATTTTCACTCACAGAACACTCTGACTGAGCGCTTCAGAGTTTCAGTCTCCGTCAAGCGATCTGTGATATTTTTCAGTTCATCTAAATGGATGCGCAGCGCACCTGTGTTTGTGTATTTGGCATAACGTAAACTCTAGTGTGAAGACGCACAACTCGCCGTCGCTTTCTCTCACACGTGCAGAGAGCGAGCGAGAGTCTTACATAACATGCAGAATTGATGCGCTTCATGTAAACGATATACTTTGTTTTATTTTCCTGTAAAAATAACTTCTCTTCTAAATTCTTCAGCTTTTAAGAACTGCCGGGTTTTCCTGTAGTAGGCGGAACTAATGCGCTAACGACAGTCTCATTGGCTGGTGCTCACCTATTATCATCCCTGTTTTGATTTCAGTTCGAGCAAACGCACACAACCTGATTAATATTCATGAATCCAGTAGCTCATTAATCCTGCGTTTTTATATTGTTATTATTAGTAGAATTCGTATAATAATAATAATAATCATATAATATTAATAATAATAATAATGCTGTCTCGGCTGTATCTGGAGCTAGACGGAGGACTGTGGTTTATTCTCCTGGAGAATTTCTTTTCTCGATCCTCATCTCGGCTGGGCTGCTTATGCAAAACCGACCACAGAAATCGATACCATCAAGCGCAGAAGAAATTTCACAACGTACACTACCGCTTAAATTTTTGGGGTCTGTAATAATGATCTTCTGTTCAGCAAGGGTGCATTTATTTGATCAAAAACAGTAAAAATATTAATATTGTAAAGTATTAAAATTAAAAATAATTGTTTTGCATTTATTCCTGTGATGCAGAGCTGAATTTTCAGCATCATTACTCCAGTCTTCAGTGTCACATGATCATTCAGAAATAATTCTAATATGCTGATTTGCTGTCTACACTGGATGTGGCGCGACACGACAAATCCTCGACAGAAAACTGCTGCCGCATTCTATTTATGACGTATTGACACAAATTTCAAATGTTTTTCAACGGTCGCTTTGTGTAGTCCACTGACAAATAATTTCGGTTGCCGAACATTCGGTGCATCCCTAGTAAAGATCATGTTCCATGAAGATATTTTGTAAATTTCCTACCGTAAACGTATATCAAAACCTAATTTCTGATTAGTAATATGCATTGCTAAGGACTTCATTTGGACAACTTTAAAGATGATTTTCTCAATATTTAGATTTTTTTGCACCCTCAGATTCCAGATTTTCAAATAGTTGTATCTCGGCCAAATATTGTCCGGCGCGACACGACAAATCCCCGACAGAAAACTGCTGCCGGACTTCATTGCTAAGGACTTCATTTGGACAACTTTAAAGGCGATTTTCTCAATATTTCGATTTTTTTGCACCCTCAGATTCCAGATTTTCAAATAGTTGTATCTCGGCCAAATATTGTCCTATCCTAACAAACCATACATCCATGGAAAGCGTATTTATTCAGCTTTCAGATGACAAATCTCAATATAAATCTCAATTTCGAAAAAATTGACTGTTAAGACTGGTTTTGTGGTCCAGGGTCACATATTAAAAACAGTAATGCTGTAAAATATTAACACAAGCTAAAATAAATGTTTTTTTATTGTGTATTTTTGTGGAAACTGAAATTATTTACAGTATTCTTTAAAGAAAGTAAAAAAAAACAGAATTTATTTAAATCTTTTGTAACATTGTGTTTGTCACTTTTGATCAGTATAATGCATCCTTGCTACATAAAAGTATTAATTGTACCAAAAAACTGACCCGTTTTTAACTGTAGTATACTTACTTGCATTAAAATTAAAAAAAAAGCCCCACACATTTTCACAACATTTACAGTGCTCACTTTGTCATGCTCCTGTTGAACGCTTTTCTTGCCCTCCTAGAGCGAGATTCTGGAAAGCCAAAATACGAGCACAGTCGTCCAGAAATTTTGATTAACACTATACAAGTGAATAGGGAAAATCAAAGCATTAAAAAAGTGTGTCAAGAATATGTCACGGAACAATGAACAATCAGCCAGCAAATATCGTAAAATACATTCTGGTAAATAGGACTTATGTCATACTTTAGGGATTTATTTTGCATTAATGACCAGATTACTATCATCTCATTTACACAGCTACACTAAGTTTCATAGATTTGGGGTTGGTAAGATTTTTTCTTTTTAACGGATTCTGAAAGAAGTCTCTTATGCTCACCAAGACTGAATTTATTTGATCAAAATTAACAATAATTTAAAATAAGTTTTCTATTTGAATATATTTAAAAATTTTATTTATTCCGGTGATGACAAAACAAAGTTTTCAGCATCTTCAGTGTCACATGATCCTTCAGAAATAATTCGGATATGCTGATTTGCTGCACATTTCTAATTATTATCAATAATGAAAACAGTTGTGCTATTTCATGTTTTGTTGAAGCCATGATCATTATTTTCAGGAATGTTTAAAGTATACAGCTATTTGGAAATCTGGAATCTGAGGGTGCAAAAAAATCTAAATATTGAGAAAATCGCCTTTAAAGTTTTGATATATTTACGGTAGGACATTTACAAAATATCTTCATGGAACATGATCTTTACTTAATATCCTAATGATTTTTGGCATAAAAGAAAAATCTGTAATTTTGACCCATACAATGTATTGTTGGCTATTGCTACAAATATATCCCTGCAACTTAAGACTGGTTTTGTGCTCCAGGGTCACATATTCTAACTGACTCATGTGAGGATTTATGTAAATTATGACTAGTTTTGGTGCAAGAATTTTTGATTAACACTATACAAGTGAATAGGGAAAATCAAAGCATTAAAAAAGTGTGGAATATGTCACGGAACAATGAACAATCAGCCAGCAAATATCGTAAAATACATTCTGGTAAATAGGACTTATGTCATACTTTAGGGATTTATTTTGCATTAATGACCAGATTACTATCATCTCATTTACACAACTACACTAAGTTTCATAGATTTGGGGTTGGTAAGATTTTTTCTTTTTAACGGATTCTGAAAGAAGTCTCTTATGCTCACCAAGACTGAATTTATTTGATCAAAATTAACAATAATTTATAATAAGTTTTCTATTTGAATATATTTAAAAATTTTATTTATTCCGGTGATGACAAAACAAAGTTTTCAGCATCTTCAGTGTCACATGATCCTTCAGAAATAATTCGGATATGCTGATTTGCTGCACATTTCTAATTATTATCAATAATGAAAACAGTTGTGCTATTTCATGTTTTGTTGAAGCCATGATCATTATTTTCAGGAATGTTTAAAGGGTTAATTCACCCAAAAATAAAAATTATCCCACAAATTACTCACCCTCAAGTCCATCCTAGGTGTATATGACTTTCTTCTTTCAGATGAATCCAATCGGAGTTATATAAAAAATTGTCTTTGATCTTTCAAGCTGTTTAATGCCGCTCAGCAGGTGTTGCATGCATCAGTCCAAAAGAAGTTAAATAATAAGCGCCCATCCATAAAAAAGTGTCTCACACGGCTCCGGGGGGTGAACAAAGGCCTCCTGTAGCGAATCGATTCGTTTTTGTAAGAAAAATATCCATATTCAAAACGTAATAATCACTTTAATGTAGCTTGCGCCAACAGTCCTACACGGAAGCAGCTCCTGGATGCGGATGACGTATGAGGTCGGCGTTGTGCGTGCGCCACTCAGAAGTGATGCACGCGGAAACGCAGCAGAGAGATCAAAACAAAACAACGGTCACTTATTAGAAGTACAAAACGAGGATTTGTAAAGAAGAATGTCGAAGGATTTTGATATTAGCCAAGAGGAGACTGGTTTTCCTTTGCTAAAGTAAGGAAACTTTGCTTCCTTTGCTCCTGTTAACAAACGTTGGTTTTTGGACCTCATACGTCTTCCGCCCGGAGCTGCTTCCGTGTAGGACTGTTGGCGCAAGCTGCACTAGGGCCTTTCGCACCGCTTTAGTTCCAGAACTAAATGTACAGTACTAAAGTACTGGGATTTACAGTGTGTTTACACAGCGTTTTAAATCATGGAGGGTGAGGGCGTTTTCGTACGCGTTTGGCCAAGCAATGTCTACTTGTGTCATGATTAGTACCAGTTGTGCTGGTTAGACCCTGCTCCGGAGTAGGAGCTAATTTGGTTCTCGAAAAAGGCAGTCCGGTACTAAAATCACACCCAGTTCCGGAGGTGTGAAAATGCCAAAAAGTGGGTAGTTCCACAATTAGTTCTGGTACTATGAAAAGGTTGCTGCGGTGCGAAAGGCCCTATTAAAGTGATGATTACGTTTTGAATATGGATATTTTTCTTACAAAAACGCATCGATTTGCTATAGAAGGCCTTTGTTCACCCCCCCCGGAGCCGTGTGAGACACTTTAAAAAAAAAATTTTTTTTTATGGATGCGTGCTTATTATTTAACTTCTTTTAGACTGATGCATGCAACACCCGCTGAGTGGCATTAAACAGCTTGAAAGATCAAAGACAATTTTTAATATAACTTCGACTGGATTTGTCTGAAAGAAGAAAGTCATATACACCTAGGATGGACTTGAGGGTGAGTGATTTATGGACTAATTTTCATTTTTGGGTGACCTAACCCTTTAAAGAATACGAAGTGCAAAAGAACAGCATTTATTTGAAATCGAAATATTTTGTAACATCTTAAATCTCTTTATAGTCCCTTTTGATCAATTTAATGCGTCCTAGGTGAATAAAAGTATACATTTCTTCAGAATTCAGAACATACAGAATCATTCTGACCCCAAATTTTTGAATGGTAGTATACATGCCAAATAAAAATGCTACTATTTATTATTTTATAATTATGGAATTACAAGTCATTGTTTTTCTAATATATAGATTCATTTGAGCCAGAGGTGTATAATCCTGAAGCCCCCAGCATGACCTCGCGGCCCATTTACAGACACAGAGTCAACGCTCAGCGGCCCAATCTGATTGGTCTAACCATGGGAGAAGTGGATCTGCCCCCTAGAGGTAACCGTGAGCTCTGGCCTCCCTGCTAAACCAGCTCTTCAGGAATTTGCTTATTTTTCTTCCTGTGGAATTGAAATACACATTTATTTTGTCCTTTACTTCCCTTTTTTTGTGTGTAATTCTTTTAGAGAAAATGTTAAACAGCAACAGCGCTCGGATCGTTTTAGAATCAGACTCCAGGAAGAGAGGAGCAGGAATGCATGATGGAACGATTCCTGCAAAGAAACCCTGGTTTGATAAGTAAGACCGAGTCGTTCAAATATTTTATGACTTTAATATTCTGAATTTTAAAAATATATTTTTTTTATTTAATTATAATTTTCTGGTGAAATGAGTACATAAAATGGTGCATATAGTTGAATATGAATGCAGTCTTTCTAAAGAGGTTTATTAAAATGCTTGAGTGCACACTAACAAAGCATCCATTATTTGGTGCTGCATGCATTTGTTTGTTTCATTACTTACTTTTGACCTCAATGTGCGTTTTTCTTTTTGCTCTACAGACCAAACTTCAACAAACCAAACCACCACAGCTTTCACAGGAGAGTGCCCTACTCTTCAGCAAACGCCAAACTGGCCATCCGTCAGATTCCTCCTGAACTCAACAACATCAGCAAACTAAACGAGCACTTCAGCAAGTTTGGCACCATCGTCAATCTACAGGTACTGTGATGGTTAAAAGTCAACATTTGTGATATGTGATATGATGTTCATGATCGTTTTGATCTTATAAGCACATTTCCTCTGTTTTAGGTGGCATATAATAATGACCCAGAGGGGGCGCTTATCCAGTTTGCCTCCCCTGAAGAAGCCAAACGGGCCATGCAGAGCACAGAGGCAGTGCTCAACAACCGCTTCATCAGAGTACACTGGCACAGAGAGGACGCGGTGGAGCACACACACACCACTCCACATCCGGTATCAAATTCTCCAGGAAATTTAACTATTAGTGGTCAAGCAATATTTTCTTAGTGACCGATGCCACTAAAATGTATATTTAAATTGAATTATGATTAAATACATATTTTATTGTATTTATTAAATGTATATTTTATTTAAAGATAAGATTTTTTGTAATAAAATATTTTTGTCTTTAAGGAGTAAATAACACATCACTATTTTTATCGATTTATCACAATTTAATATTAAGAGAGTAAATAACACGCATCACAATTTTTATATTTATCACTATTATGTTAATCAATTTAATGTACTTATAAACTAATCAAAATGTTTATATTAACACTTTAATTTCAAGACAGTAACTTACATTCATCACAATGTTTATCATAATTTAGTTTATAATAGCTAACAGATGTATCATTGTTTTATTTCACATGCACAATGCAGTCACAGCAATACAGTTCATATTTATTTTATATAACATTAAAATAATTCATTTGAAAATTAGTTTGAAAAATTGATTGTGCTCCTATTATAATGTTTTAGAAATAAAAAATGTAATCACTCATGAACCGAAAGCAAATTAAACACTACAATGAACAGTTCACTCGTTAATCAACCTTGGCTACTTATTGATGATCCACTAATTACTACCCAGGCTGTATTAATACCTCTTTCCACAACACAAAAAAATTCTTACGTAGTTTGCAGTACACATTCCTTTATAGGACAAATTCTTACAATATTGAGTCATTTTATTGTGCATGATCTGACTGCTGAATGTATTAGGCAAACATCATGATCAGTTTCATATATCAGATGGTTCCAGCTGTAAAATCTGATTGTTGGAGCCATGTTTGTTGTTTGTAGAGCATACAGACAGCCCAGGAGCCTGTGGTGACCACACCGAAACAGTCAGTGAAAGACCGGCTCGGACCCCTGCCCTCAGCCCACCCTGAACCCTCACACGACCCCGGCGGCGCTCCACAGGTGAATGTGTTGCTCAAACGCTTCCTGATCATGCGTGTTTGTATTTGTTCTTTGTCTCAGATCTCAGCATGTCTCTGTGTTTCTGTTCTCTACAGAATACAACCAAGGCTTCAGTGAAGGAGCGTTTGGGCCTCTCTAAACCAGCTGGCTTTGGAGGAAAGGTTTGTTTTTCATAGTTTTGCATAGTGAGGCTTTATATTTTTATCAGAAAGTCTAGTCTATGTTGCAGCTTATAAACCTCCCACTTTCACTTTAAGGGCCTAATTACTTGTTTGTGTAGAGTATGCATTCAACAGTGTCATCTTGTTGTGCCCCACTGGCTTCTTTTGAGACCCTTTTACATGTGTGTGTGTGTGTGTGTGTATATATATAATGTAAAATCTCTTGGTAAAATCTTTCCTTTTTTTTTTTTAGGTCTTTTCCACATCTACTGGCCTGACTAAGACTGTTTATAACCCAGCTGCACTGAAAGCTGGCCAGAAGGGAGCGCTATTCGGGAGCGCCGCTGTCAGCGCAGAAGATGCCCTGAAAAGGAAACGGGTTTGTATCATTGTGCTGGAAAAAGCAACCTGCAAGTCACACGTTTTATGCTTGTGTTAGCAGTGTTGAACTACTGTAAATGTGGTCCTGTCATTCTCCACCAGGAGGCGATGAGACTTCAGCACGATGTTCGGAAAAAGAAACAGGAGATTTTGGAGAAGCACATTCAGACTCAGAAGGTGCGGCATTAATTGTTGTCCTTTTGTCTTGTTCATATATTATGTTAATTAGAAAGATGCTCGTTGTTTCCTAGGTGACACTATCTGTTAACTAGGTGTATTAAAGTTAAAAAGTACACTACTGTTGGGAAATGCTTTTATTCAGTAAAGACATTTATAATGTTACAAAAGATTTATTTTGCGAATCTTTTGGACTCTATTTATCAAAGAATACTGAATGTACAACTGTTTCCACAAAAATATGAAGCAGCACAACTGTTTTCCACATTGATAATATAAAAAAAGTTTAAGCACCAAATAAACAAAAAATACATTCAAATAGAAAATAGATTTATCTCAAGTACTAGTAAAAATTTGTATATTTTTGTTTTTATATGTAGCTGCAACATATTACTAGGCTGGCACTGACTTCATTACTTCAAAAGTGTGATAAAATGTGCATGAACTTGGTTATAAAAAGTCTAGAAAAATAGCTTTTTGCTGTTGTCACAGCTTGCTAACTAGTGATGGAAACAAATATTTGGAAGTCAGTCTTGTGAGCGCATTAATTGATCTGTGCTATTTGACAAGCTCATAAATCAAAGTGTCACTTTACTTCTAATATCAGCAGGCTTCTGTGAGGGTTTGATTTAGGGATAGAGAAATGAATGACTTTGTACATAAACGACTGCATTTTGAGGTGACTGAGACCGGTGTGTGTCTTCAGCTGCTGATATCTAAGCTGGAGAAGAACAGGTCCATGAAGGCGGAGGATAAAGCTCTGATCATGCAGACCCTCACCACCTTCACCAACAGCATCACCAAACTACAGGAGGAGATGAAAGGACTGTCCAGTACTAATGCCCTCAAGACCACACTAAAGAGCAAAGCTCAGGTACACACACAGTCCCAAAGCACCATAATCAACAAATTAATTTTTCTGCATGTGTAGCCTGTATGATGCTTCTCCGTTTTCAGGCTCAAAAGGAGCTCCTGGACACTGAGTTGGACCTTTATAAGAAAATGCAGGCAGGAGAGGACACTGCTGAACTCAAGATCAAATACACTCAGCTGCAGTTGGAGGTATATTTTACAAAGAGACAAAAAGCTCTATTCTTGCGCACATTTACTTTATTTCTTATAGCTAGAGTATGGCACATTTATATTTTTTTCCAAATTTAGCCGTTAGTCTGTATATAGCTCGATATTTTTACATTTGCTCTCAAAAAATGTGAAAAAGACATGGACTGGATAGAAAAGCTATTGTTACAAAGTACATGCTGTACAATTGTTTACTACAAAACATTATAGTTATCTGACTGAAACTAAAATTAAAACCAAACCCCCCCCAAAAAAACAATACATAAAATAAAATACTTATTTCGGCTAGTTGCCAAGGCAATATTTCTCATTTTAATTTAGTTTAATTTAATGTACAAAAATAAGTACAACTAAAACTGAAATAAATGTTATATAAATATAAAACAAAAAATTATATAATCAATATAAATTACAAAAGCACACAACAAAATTACTAACATTTTAGCTAAAGTTAAATGCACCAAAAATGTAACAACACATTCAAAATATTAATAAAAACTGTACTAGTATCTCTATGATGCTGAAATAACACTGCTAAAAAATCAACAGTTAAAAAACGGAAATCTAGACATAGTGACCACCTAACTAAATGAACACCAAAAGAAATGTTTAAAATCATGTTTACCTATAAGCACATTGAACCAGTATAAAAATATGAAATAGAAAAAAAAAAGACAATTAAACAAAATGTTGTGGCTGAGCGAGTTCTTTTGAGAAATAAAAACATCACACATTACATTAGCCACATTTAAATACGATTGTCAATCCAGAAATTATGCAGTGCTAGTAGCATGAGAAATTAAACATCTATTCAAGTAGTGAATAGGTTATAAACCGGAAACTCATTCTCAGTCCTTCCACTGAGTGGCAATGTAGTGCTACTTAAACTCTGTACGCTTATGAGATGTTTTCTTTCAGGCTGCCAAAAGGGGACTACTGACCCCAGGACGTGGGAGGGGGGCCCACGGCAGGGGTCGGGGGGGCCTGAGGAGCCGAGGACGCGGGAGAGGAGTCCCAACTCACGCTGTGGTGGATCATCGACCCCGAGCTTTAGAGATCGGCGGTTTCACTGAGGCAGATCGAGTCGACCTGCTGCCACACTTCGCAGTGAGTGACTTTAAAGGGCATGTTGCATCACACTGTTATGAGGTATGTCTTTGAGTCATAACTGGTTCTCCCACTAACCTCCAGCAATACGGGGAGATTGAAGATTGCCAGATGGAGGATTCCAGTCTTAGTGCCATCATTACATACAAAACCCGTGCAGAGGCAGAACGGGTACTGACATAACCCATAAACATCAGTAAACACATACATGCACGCCTTCATGCAGAGTCTAAACTTCAACTCTGTTCCTCAGGCGGCCATCCACGGTGTTCGGTTAAATAATCAGGAGCTGCGCTTGGCCTGGCACAAGCCCACGGCTTCCCTCAACACAACAGACCCGGATGAAGTTGAACCTGAGGATGAGGAGGTATGCCCTTCATCACAGTTCACTTTAAGAGTGTTTGGTTTACTCATTTGTACTACTTTTCTTAGGTATTCAAGTCATTTTAACGTTTTTATAAATTACAATATATTTATTTTTGCTGGAGAATAAAATAAAGTATTTTTTTGTTCAGCAAGGGTGCATTAAATTGATCAAAAGTAACAGTTAAGACATTTGTTACAAAGCATAAATGCTGTTCTTTTGAAATTTCTATTCATCAAAGCGTCATAAATTAAGCAGCACAACTATTTTCAGTAATAATGATAAGAAATATTTCTTGAGCAGCAAACCAGCATATTAGAATGATTTCTGAAGGATCATGTGACACTGAAGACTGGAGTAATGATGCTGAAAATTCAGCTTTGCATCACAGGAATAAATTGCATTAAAAAAAATATTAAAATAGAAAGACATTTGTTACAAAGCATAAATGCTGTTCTTTTGAAATTTCTATTCATCAAAGCGTCATAAATTAAGCAGCACAACTATTTTCAGTAATAATGATAAGAAATATTTCTTGAGCAGCAAATCAGCATATTAGAATGATTTCTAAAGGATCATGTGACACTGAAGACTGGAGTAATGATGCTGAAAATTCAGCTTTGCATCACAGGAATAAATTGCATTAAAAAAAATATTAAAATAGAAAAAGTACTTTTAAATTGTAATAATATTTCATAAAATTGCTGTTTTTACTGTATTTTTGTAAAATGCAGCTTTGGTGCGCATAAGTGATAAAAACGACCCTAAAACACTAAACAGTCCTGCGATAATACATATTTTGATTGTCCATTGAGTGAAATACTTGACAAATTGGAAGGATCTTCATATTATTTTCTTTTTATTTGGAAACTAATGGACACAACCCAAAAATGTGATAATTTATAACAAATGAAGTCATCAGTGTCTGTACACAACTTAATGTACCACTTAAGTTACAAACAAAAACGTAATTACAGTTTGCATTATCGCATTTCTTTCTCTAAGTTCTATTTAAATGAGCCACAAACTAATGCAAACCTGTGACCGCACAACATTACATGTAAGTTTTCTGTTGTGATGTTGCTGAGCAAGTGTAAACAATTATGCCTTATAACATGCCTTAATAAATGTTGGATATGTCTTACTTTATATTACTGTTTCTTCCTTGTTCTTGTGTAGAAGTAACATAAACCAGTCCTGCTCACATATAGCTGAGCGAATGTACCATGGGATAAGCACAAAACATTTGTACTGTCATTGTGCATTCATTTGATTCTGAGTGTCCGTTTTCTGATTGGCTGCAGTTTCCAGAGGATTCGTTCGTGGACGATTCCCTGCTGCAGGACGATGATGAAGAGGAAGACGATAACGAGTCGCGCTCATGGCGTAGATGAAGATGAAGTCGTGTGTCCAGTCCTGCTGCACTGCACCACTCGAGCGCATCGGATCTTGAGTTCTGTGTTTTTGAAATGGTTGTTTTTAATAATATTGATTTACATTTCATTGGCTTTTTTTTTTACTTATCAAACCTGAGCAGCAAATAGAAAATGTTACTCAAAAGGCTGTGAATTTCAATTACTGAGATGTAAGATAACATGAATGATTTGATTTCTCGCCGCCATCGTTTTGTTTCGTATCGTTTCAAAACATTGACTAACTTTTGGTGGATGCATTGTTTTTCTTTTTTCTTTTCTTTCTTTTTATGGTCAGTATGTTGACCCAAATTTCTTTTCAACATTTCTGAAAATATTACAGATTGAGACAAATATGGGAAATGTTTCGATCTCAAAGACAGTAGAGCATTTTTGGAGCGTTGTTATAAAACATGTTGTATGCTTTCCTTAGTATAATCAGCCTGATGAGGATGTAGCTTTTTGTGTACATATTTTATGTATCAATTTTAATGGTTTTTGCTTCTGGATTCATCTCCTGGCTTTAATTTTGAAATGTAAAAAAAATAAAGAATTGAAATGGTCTAGAAAAAATATCAGCTGCAAAAAAAAGAAAAGAAAAGAAAAAATATTGAGAGCTCTGCTGCAAAAGCAGCATTGAAAACAAAAAAATCTGAACAGCTGAATAAAGACCATTTCAACCCCCACCCCCCAATCCTCACAAAAAGATAAAATGATCCAGTAAAGTAAGATCAGTGGTGGTTTTATCTGCCATATGCAGACGTGACCTCATCGCTTTTAAAACATAAGATTACTGAAATTATAACCAAGAATTCATAGTGTTTCCTATACCTTTAAAGAGTTTGTTCACCCAACATCATAAGTGACTCAACCTCATGGCTTTCCAAACCAATCAGACTTTCGTTGATCTGCCAAAAACAAATGAAGAGATTTCCATTCCACCCAAAATTTGACAATTAAACAAGTTCATAAAGAGGTTATAAAAGAAATTTGAATTTGGAGCACCATGAGGGTATGTAATTAATGAGAGAATGTTCATCTTTGGGTGACCTGTCCCTTTAAATGACTATGAAACAGTGGGAATGTTGTTCTGTATGTTAAAGCAGTGGTCACATTGTGGACTTCAAGCATGCAAAATGTAGATTGTCACACTCTACTGTAGGTTTTCTGTTTATAATGCATTACACAGCCCTGCATCTGGGAAAAAAATTAAGCTGATTTGCAAAAAAGGCCTAATGTTACCTAACTTGATGCTGAGAAAAAGCAGTCAAATGTCAAAAGTTTGGGTTTTGATGACAAAACGAAGCATTCAAAATTTGTATAGGAGTGGAAAAAGTGGAAATCAGGATTTGGCATAAAGTCTTCAAAGTCATTCATACATGTGAAAATGAGCTTAGAATTGAAAACAAATTTTGTTGTGGTAATCTGGCTCAGAGAAAGATATGCATCTTGTGCCAGTTTTTCTGATGATTATGGGATAATACAAGACTTTTCACCTCACAAATGATTGTCAAAAGCAAAAATGCTACAAAATCATATTTTGTGAAAAAGTGTAACATACTCGAGCAAAACATGCACCATTTCTGCAATCAGCAACCCAAAATCGATAAGAAACAAGTACTGGATTTCATTCAGCAAATATGATGCAGGGTGGTGTAATAAATCACAAGTGATTTGCTTTCAAAATCAATGATTGCATTCAAAAGCTGAAACAATCTGAAGCTGCAGCACTGTGAATTTGCAGCTTTTATGTTTGTGCTCGTTGAAACTGACCAAAAGATAGATCTTTGATGTGTAGATCCTTATTGGTTTTACATTTTCTTGTCATACAAATTTGCAGGTCCCCAACACTTTTGTATGCCGCAGAAACGTGATACGAGCATGAGCTTGTGTTTCCAGTCTCCCACATTTGCATGCATATAATTGGAAGTCAGTTTTTGAGTTCAAGAGAACCGTCCGCAGCTGAAGTACTCGAATTAAGTGGATGAATTCATTGCAATTTTACAGAAGAAAAGAACGAGGGATTTCAGTACGGCGCTTTTAATGACCTATTAGTTGTTTTCATGTTGTTGTTTTTCGATGTAGTTGTTTTCATCTCTCTGGGTGAGTTGTCAAGAGTCGCTCCATCTGTCTCACTCTGCGGCGGCGGTTAAGGTGCTGACAGAAGCTTTGGCTGTTTGAACTTTTCAGTGGCCTTGTCATGCAGACAACTGCCCTCAGCTGAACCACAAATCCCAGATTCCCCAGCAACACCGCAAAATTAGCTCCATAAATCAGAGGGGCTTCTGGGAATAGTCCCTGTGTTGCCAGGGGCAATGGATCATCCCAGATGCTGGTGTCAGGGGTGCGCAAATCTCAGTGCCACAGGACGCGAGACCGTGGGCAGATCCAGCCATCGCTCGTGTTAGAAATACTCCGGTGAAGTCGGTGAGAAACACACGAGCAGGAGCTGCCAGAAGTGTCTGTCGGTGTGAATGTTCACACGTACGTACACACCAAGCCCTCTTTCGTATTTTATTTGTATTGGCTGGTGTGTGAAGTAATTTTTTCCTTATGACTTATTAAAGATGTTTAGGAGATTTTGACCTGTTATAGACAATATTATGTCTTTGCATTTCAGAATTCAAAATTGTTGTTTTCTAGTTCTGTGACTGATCACTGAATGGCAGTGTGCTGCAAATATATTCAGCACGTCATTATTTTGCCGTGACGTGTAATACTTGTATGATGACGTTTCAGCCAGAATGTTTTGTCAGTTACTTTCTTGCTCATTGCATAATTCTCTGTGATGCAATTCATTATTATTGCACTATTTTACGGTTTAATATTAAATAACACTAAATGTTTTTAATTAATTTTGGAGATGATTTGGCTTTTTTCTTTTACTTTTATCCAACCCCTGGATATTTTGATATAAGGAAGTTGTTTTTCCATTACCACACATTAGTATAATTTCTTTACCACATAATATACACTCTTAAAAATAAAGAGGAATTTCGCAGTGATGCCACAGAAGAACCGGTTTTGTTTCCCCTAAGAACCTTTCAGTGAACAGAACGTAAGTACTGTAATTTCATAATATAAATAATTTTTTTCCACTATAAAGAAACTTGTGTAATGGAAAGGTTGCATGGATGTTCCATGTCAGTAAAGAAGCTTTATTTTTAATTATATTGCCTCTATATATGTGTGCTTTACTTTTAAGCATATGTGTTGTGCAGTTAATGTAAACCCAATGATGTATTGACATTCTGATTTGCACAGATGTGATGTGACGGGCTGTAACGAAGGTTAAAGATGTCAATTTAATTATGGGTCAAAGGTCACATTACTTTGCAAACACATCCTGGAGCCAAGATGGTAGATTAGAAAGATCTCAAGTCATTTAGATAACTTATGTTAACGTACTTAAAATAAATGTTCTTTATTGGCATCAATAGTTCAATGAAGAACCTTTAACATCCGCGCAATCTTTTCATTGCACAAAAAGGTTCTTTTGATTGTTTAGAATGTTCTTCATAAAGGCCATTTTAGCAACTGCTCACTGAAAGATTATTTTTGGAACCCAAAATGATGGTTCTATGGCATCACTGTGGGGGGAGAAAAAGCCTTTTGGAAACTGTATTTTTAAGAGTGTAAATAAGAGAAAAATTGAACATGATTGAACCAATCGTTTTTTAAGGAAACCTAAAAAAAAATGTATCCTGGTTATTTCGGCAAGTTTTCAATCACTTGCTTTGATTGCTAAGCCTGTTTTTGTCTGGATGCTATCTGCAGAAATAATTGCCCTGTGTTAAAGATCTCTGTGTGTTATAAAACACGGTCAGTACGACACAGTTCAGAGGATCAATCCTGCTGCACTTGGCTGCTTTAAACTCCGAGTGGAAATAAAGAGACTGCATCAGGACCCCAGGGGCTATTCAACATCCCCTCCACCCCAAACACAGCTATCTGTAAATTAGCTGACTTTGTGACCCTGCCTGTAATTGCATTAGTTTATCAATGTAGCACACAATTTATTATCCCGAGCAATAACCACGCACAGGGCCGGTGTGTGGAGTCTCACACCGTACACAGTAATTAGAGACGAAGGATTTCAGAAGACGTGCTCTTAATGTCTGCTTGAGCTTATGGCTCTCTGAGCATTTCTAAACACCGTACAGACCCGTGAGCACATGGTAGACACACCAGACCTCTATTTCCATCTTTCTGTCATGAGCTATAGGTGCCTACAATACAAAAATTTTAAGGCAAGTGTCAGTATTTCTGGTGCTCTTATAGCATTAATGATTTGAACAAACCTCTAACCCTAAATGTTAAACTTTGCTGTGTAACTTTTGTATTATGAACATGAATAATACCTCAAATCATGTAGCTTGTTGTGGAGAGGTGTGCTGTTTTTTAGGGATCAGAATTTATAATATAGTCTTTGGTGGACTGTCTTGACTTGAGACGAGCACAACCACATACTAACCCTCCAGAACCCCCATGATTGTTGTGTTTCTGGTAAAACTGAATCTGATAGACCCTTTTCACATTTCCGGGGTTCTCACAAGCGTAACTTGTCATAGTTGAGTAAACTTCTATAGTGATGAACAAAATCTACAACACAGATCATTTTTGCATTCGCATTTGATCCAATAGCATTTCTGTGACACTTCAAAAGAGGGGAAAAAAATCAAGTTGATTGAGGTGATTTGCCATTACTTCCTCAGCCGTTGTATTAGAAACATCCTCACAGCAGCATTAACTAGTTTTGTGTAATTTATTGCTAGTGTAATATCACACAAAGTATAGTGTGTTATAAATAGACTTTTCCTAGATTTGAGAGAATGATTATGGGATCGCATCATCACAGTGTGTGAAAAGGGTCCTTTGGATGTAATCCAATTCACCAAAAATCCTATAAATTTTTTTTTAAAAAACTAAACTTTTAACATTTAAACTTCTCACACATTACAAAAAAGTCAATTTGAGAACATTTATAAAAATGTATTTAACAAATGAGTTTTTAAGCATTGGTTTTCACAAATTGTGACTCACAGTCACAACAGTATTTGAAAAATTTATTACAAAAATTATTTATTTTTAAATGTTTGTGTATATGTGTGTGTTCTGGAAGTAGTGCAAAACTGTAGTGCATGTCGCAAGCAATGTCGAGATAATTTTTGGTTCGATTCCCAGCAAAATTCCCATGCATGAGCTAATAAAATGCCTTCAACATTTGTACATTTTATTCAAATTGACCCAGCAACATCAGTCATGATATAAATTTTGTTCACACACATCAATACACTTCAAAAATGTTTTTTTGGGTCAAAATTTACCCAGAACATAATATGAGCGAGTACAACACGTTTTCTTCAATGTTAAAATCTAGCTATTGATGTTTTTTGCGTGTCTAGTTATTAATTACATACTTAAGTAATTTACCATGAACAGCATAGTTTTTACCCAAATTGCATTTCTTTTTACTTCACTTTGAAAAAAAAAAAAAAAAAGACAGATTCTAAAAACTTCCTGAACTTTTTGATGGGGATCATATTAATTTCTCAAACAATTACATTATTAAGTATGACATTGTGACAGACAACAGGCATTGTGTGTAGTAGGGGTGTAAAAAGTGTCAATGCATTAAGACAATATAAATC